TCAGAACGATACCCAGAAGCGATGCGTAATTTAGTGAGAAATCGTCGCCGATTGACAACACATTTTGACCTGTACGAAACGATGCGCGACTTAGCCGAATTGGAATCACTTGAATCGCATACAATTAACGAACATGCCAAAGAGCTCAAAGGAATTGAGCCAATGCCTCGTGGGATCAGCTTATTTTTACCCGTTCCAACGACAAGATCATGTTACAACGCTGCCATTTCACCACACTGGTGTACATGCCATGAACGAACTGATTTGACGCCAACCGATCCACGCGTCAGCGAAGTGGCTCGACTGATTGTGAGCCGAATGAATGACATGATCAAACCATATCCACAGTGTCGACGCTTACAATTGAACTCCGTTCTTAGTGCCAATTTAGAAACATCCAGTACGATCTTTCGAAATGTAACCAATCATTTCGTTGATGTCGCAGTCCGGCTACAAACACTGCCTGGTCTTGGTGAATTCGAAGCAACCGCTCGCATTCATGAAAACAATGACTTCGAATTGACCGGAACGATTAGCCGAACCAATTTGTATGGGAACCGAAGCTACTGCGTCAACGATTACAAAATGAAATTGTACTGTTTTTGTGAAAGTCTAGCATAAGAATGCATAATCGTTAGCTTACTTTGCACTGTGTGTATAAAATTCTTATTGAAGTACATTCAAAAATCTTTGATGACTTTCTTTCATTGAGTTGATTACAATAATTTACTGACAGTAAGTTGTCATTATACAGAAGAGCGCGGTTTATAGATTTATCACTTGTATCACCTATAATTACCACAGTAAACAAAAGTAACGCTAAATAGAAAAAATCAATGCAAAAATCAAATAAAAAGTCTCCTTTGAATGAAAAATGAATCGCTTCCATGCAGCTGTAATGAGACCGTAATTACAAGCTGCTTTCATAATTTTCCATGTTCATAACGTTTTTGTCTTACCCGAAGAGTTCAATCAGGTGTGAATCAGCAAATTGATACTTACCTTCAATATCTGTTTCTTTTTCACTCTCACAAATGCTGTCATTGAAATATCCGATACAAAGTTTGACTTTTTCTTCATACATATTCAATGAGTTCAGACTGAACCGTCCAGTATTGTGTATTGTTCCCATAAACTTTGTAACAATTTCTATGAAACGTTCTGTTTGCTACACGTTCTGTTGGCGACGCCAATGATAATGAATCCATTTAATGTCAAGTTCATATCAGTCACAGTATTCATGAAACCCCAAAATTCGTTCTCAATATTAACATACATTACCATATATGAAAGATAGACGCGAAAGATAGAAAACCGCGTCAGCGGTAAAAATCGATAAGATTGAATTGAGCTCGACCAAACGACACACCCAAACCATCACGAATGAATCGACTTTCTGCGTATTTTTTTCTATTCACCAGGAGACTGATTTGTTCAATTCTCTTCGGATTTTTTTCTGCCATGTGTACAATTGCTTCCCCAACTGCCTTTTGCATGCCTAATTGCGCGATTAACAATCATTTATGATGAGCTTGTTATTTGACTACCTAATGTGAATGATATAAAAAAAATGCGATTTCATTGGCGTCAGCGTTGCAATTAATTTGGTACATCAACCATAGTCATTAGAATAAAGTGTTGCACTCAACTATGGTATATTGTCATTCTGTTCGTTATGAATGCTAATTCATGCTCGCACGTGGAAACCCAGTTAAAAAATATATGTCGATGTAAACAAATAATTTCGGTTTAAGTCGTTCATTTCGTGAAGGTCGACTCAATGGCATCATAACATTCTGTACATTGTCTTGCTACGTTCAGTTCTCTTTCTATCCCTCTCTGTCTCTATTTCTCTCTATGAATGTTCTTACCTTCCGATGCATGTTGACACGTGCGTCAATTTATGAAAAAATTATATACCGTCATGCATATATCTACCTCTTAAGCATCTCTCTCATTTCCAAGCACTTTTATATTTAAAAGCAAGTTTCGTGGAACATTTTCAGGTACATTAAAGCGTTACAGCATCAACAAGAAACGGAACGTTTTTTTTTCGCACTGCAAAAAACGTCCTTGGAATTATTGATCAGACGATAATAATCGGTCATAAGCAGTAAGTTACAACGACATTTAAGACAAACAACAAGACATATTACGCATTTCAATGCACATATTGTATTATACATACCATGCATCATATAGCCGTAGCTATAGCCAACTACATATGAAATCAATGGGTAAAAGTACTACGTAGTTAGGAATAAAACCATTTGAAAATGCCAGTCTTTGTTTTGGATAAATGGGTTTCGGTACATTTGTGTTTTTTTTCTCGAATTGAAATAACATTTTTTTCGCATATCGCTGAGTGAGATGAATAACGACTGCATCGTCTGCTATTTTTATAAGCATTTTTTCCAACAGCATTTATCCATTTCCTTCCATACCCACGCTTCGTTTTATACAGCTATGAAATGTCGACGGTTGCGTCATACATTCCAAGTTTTCTATGTAAGGGGAGACTCGATTCTTGCGACGGTCAGGAATGTTTGCCAAACTCTTATTTCGACTCCGAATTCGTTTCATCATGTGAATAACTTATAATTAATTGAATGAGAGTGTATGTGAAGCATATTGTTGTCGGCATTGATTTGCTTTTCATTATTTTGAAAGGAGTTGAAATTTCTCGGATTCATTATTGCTTGAGACGAGAAGATGATGCCTCAATATGATGATGATGATTCAAAATCACTTATCTAATATATCAAGAAGATAAAAAGAATTGCAATGGTAATCCCGAACTTTTCCGTACCGTTGGCCTGCGTTGTCCGTAGGTACTTTTGGTTATTTTTTGTAAATTTTCTTGAAATAAAGGCAGTGAAAATATAATAATAAAAATGAAGTGAAGAATCGGTCACTTTAACTAAAACTTCGACAATTTTGTATTGGAGGTACCCGTAAACCGATTCTCATTGGCTTCAAACTTTCTGACGTTTCATTTTTTGGAGAAAAAATAAGATTCTGAAAGTTTCATGTTGATCGCATCTGCAGAAGTTTGGTTTTTGGCACTCAATTTTTTCCAAGAAAATTTCGACAAAAATTGAGGACAAAAAATCAAACTTCTGCAAATGCGATCAACATGAAACTAACAGAATCTTATTTTTTCTCCAAAAAATGAAATATCAGAAAATTTGAAGCCAATCAGAATCGATTAACGGGTACCTCCCATGCAAAAGTGTCGATTTTTTTAGGTGTTTCTTAGGGCAAGTACCCCAGGGTCAAATCGAAAATGGCTCATCTTCGAACTTAAACTAAGTTTTTCGGATACAACACTTTTGGCATTTCCAGATTTTGATTACCTCAATTATTTTTATAGTTATCGTGTTAACAAACAGCTACGACGACAACGACGACTGCACACGAACGGAAAAGTGTCTCAAAAAGTGGTTTTCTACGCGTTTCATGAATTTTTATGATGATCTAAGCTAATTTTACGGAAAAAAAATTCGGGACCAATTCCTATACTTTCCCTTGACACGTTGTGTACGGAAAAGTAAAATATTTACTACTAAGAATAACAAGATCTGTCTATGAAGTTATATACTCTACATATGTTTTATAGAGCATGCTGAGAACCCTGATATTTACATAATACCAATCCAATATAGCACCATTATACTGTCGACAAAATGGAAACTGGAGCTGGTTTGCCCAGTTTGTCAACTCGATAAATCTTGTGAATATCCAATTAAACGGAAATCGAATTAAGATTAGACGGATCAAATTAAACGAGGCGCGTGACGGGGCGTTTGTAAGTATTCACATCCCTTAAGAATCTCCATTATTTCTACGTAAGAGTTGAAATTGATGCGCAATAAACAAATTGGTATAGTTTTAACGATGATTTATTGCTAATTGACCCCATTTCCACTATCTTATGCTAAGCGGTTGGCAATTTTATTGAAACCTCCAGAAATTAATTCATCGAGAGATTGCTTTTTCCAGTTAAATGCTGTTTGCATTCGATCCAATTAAGACAAATTGCAAGTGGATGTGCATCGTGAATTGAAGCTCTTTAAAAGTTCGGATTCATCGAATCGTGTTTATATTTATGTTCATTATTATCCAAGAATATTTGCGCATATTGAATAGGAGTACAATCGTTGACCTCTTTTGATGGCGAAAACAACAACACAGCAGTTTTTTTTCAAATGCAATAATTTCGTTTGCATAACAAAAGGAAAGCAGCTTTTGCGTTTTTTTTTTTGGTTCCATTTATAAACAACAACAAAAAGTCTCAAACCATCCAAAAGAATGACATATTGTCGAAGTGGGAATGCAAGCATCGTAATATGCCACGTACGTTATTCGGGTCAGAATTATCAACTGTCGTGGAGTGTCATTTCACTTTTGAGCGGTATTGAAGATGAATTTTGCAATGAGATTACATGAGGTGATAAATCAATGGTGCGCATGTTGATATAATGACATAAATCTGTTTGAAATTGGTTATTACGATTCCTCCAATCGATTAACCAATGAAATAGTAAGCAAATGATATATTGGATGGCATGTTTTGGCCATAAAATGAATCATTTTTTCGATTACATGATGGAAATCAATTGTTTTTTTTCCAGTGTGAGTAGCAGACATTTTTCCAGAAATAATAAAATCATGACATGAAATCACTCATATCTTTTAGTCACACGTATGCAATTAAGCATTAAAATTAATATTTTGAACGATTTTCGTTTGCCTTTACACAAACGACGAATAATAAACAAATGTAAAAATAAACCATGTGCAAATACCAAGATAAAAGCGAGAAATATATAACCCAAAACACGCATATATTGACGTTATGATCACAATAACACGAAAATTTTCCATTCCGTCTTTTAGGTGGCTCCGATCTGTGCGATCTGTTGCTGTTATTATTGTTTCATAGCGAATCTAAAGCTTGCTTAGTGGCTGTGTATCAAACTTTCTTTTTTTTTGAGGGAATGCGTACTAACGTGATGAAATGACGTTATTTTAGGCCTATGTGCGTCGTACGTATTACACGGGGACTGTGTCAAGAGTACACAAGTTTTTGTACGGGTTCCGTGCTAGACAGTGGAAAAGTTTTTATACGCTCGCTATTGCCGTTGTACACAAACTACTTTTTCTCTGTCTGGACATGGCCAATCACAAAAGAGTGGTTCTTGACCAATATCTTTGTTGAACAACAAGCAAAACAAATGACGACAACATCGTAAAAACGACAAAGAAAAAAATGTTATAATATATAAATAAATTAATGAAAACTCCGGACATTCGTAGCGAGCTACCTGTTTTATAACACCCAAAAGAAAAGTGGAAAAGGAACTTTCGTGTTATGTTAACAAAACACTCCTTCCGACTATGACTTTGACACAGTCAACAAATCAATGGGACACTTGCATGCAAAGCCTACAAAAGGAAATGGTGCCGTACAACATTGATGAAGGCAAAGTAATCGAATGAATCGACCAATACCGCATATTGAATGAATACTATTTGATAACAACAAACGTTTCCTAAAGAGAAGTAGCGCATAGACGGCAAATTTAGCTGATAAAGGCAAAATTTGTGAATAACTTCAACCTAAGAAGGGCTTATCTCCAGACAAATAAAACAAAGACAGAAAAACAAATGTACAATGAGATAGTAGAAATGTCCCATTTTGAATTCAATGGACTGTGGTCAAACCGATTGACTATAGGAAAAAGTAAACGGAAAGGGAAATTGAAAAATATTGCTGAGATTCTTAGTTCGAGAATTGTTCGAATAAATTATTGAATACATTTATAGGATGACTATGGATAAAAACACATATAAAACCGTATAAAACCGACAATTCCTGACCTATCCCCACACGGCAACACTGTGCCATCATTTCAAAATGTTCTAAGATACCTCCTAATAAATATTCATAAAAAATCGGCATTATCGTCTAGCATTTTTTATTTCCAAACCTATTGGAATGGCTCTGATGACCGGTTCCAAAATGAGGAATCTCAAATTGATATTCTCAGTTCTGACGCAGAAAAAAGCTAGATATTACGACACATGTCGAACACATGAAGTTCGTATGTGATCACGCATCGTCTGGGTGATTATCGGCTTAATCATTATTCGCAATATATTTTCAACAGTCATGGGGGCTTTCGATATTTATCATGAAATCAGCGAGGCTACGTCTGTTCCGTGAATACTGACACAAACCATACGGTTCAATCGTTTAGCACAATAAATCATACACAAATTGTTTAGTTTAATTACGTGCGTCGCGACGCAACGCGACGCGTGGCTACGGGGCTGATCACCTTTTTTGTTCCCATGAATCAGTGTCACTTTTTTGTTCATTCAATTCAATTGTTTTACTTTCACTTGAAATAAGTTTTCCGAATCGAGTGACTAAAGCGCAAACGCGATAACCGGTTGATGACGAAGAACGTAGTTTTCGATCGATATAATTAATTTGAACGAAAATGTGTGTGAATGGAATCTTTTTGCTGAGAAGATTACTTAACACATGCAAAAGACCCAATAAATTCAATCGAGTTAATGGAGTAATGCACTATCTATTGCGCAACATTTTATTTATTTTTACAACTCACTTCTATTTTGGTCGGAAGAAAAAATGCCATGAATAAAAAATGCGAGCTATAAATAAACTGTGTTACGATTTTTCTCCTCACATTTCGCGCTGAAGCTGATTCATGTTTTCGTTTTGGAATGGACGCGACTTTGAAAAATGATTCGGTCGGCGTTTGATTTCGGCGTCGTGGTTTCAATGTTTTATTTTTAAGACAAACAAATGACGTGTTGTTATTTTTATTTTTACATTCATTTTTTTTTTTGAGAAAAATTGAAACTTTTTAGACAACGAATGGCCAAACTCCGGAGTTTTGAACTGAAAAAAAAACAAGAAAAATGAAAACAAACATCTTGAGTCTAGTATTTTGTTACCAAGGTCAAGGACATACGTGTACATAAAAGTTGGTAAACGGCATTTAGCCAAAAACCTTTTCGTTTTGATGAAGTACATTCTAGAAGAAGAAGCCCATACATTTGTTTTCGAAATGTAAAGAAAAAACAAACAATCAGCATAAGCAGAGTGAAATTGCAGCCCATATATCGCTTCTATACTGAAACCAGACACAGCTTGGCTAACGATTTCTCGAGCTAAAAGCAAAAATAATCAGTTCTCATATGAAATTAATTCCTGACTGCATAAACAATGTGCAAAACAACCATTTTCATGTAATTTATTGAATTAACGCGGATTTCTTAACGTTTAAAAATAAGTAAAATGCACGGCAAAACGACAGGCGGTTCAGAATGACATTTCTGAAAGTGAGAATGAAAATTAGAACGGGAAGCCAACAGTACGATGGAGATACAAATAAGAACACACAGCAATTTATTGTATAATTGTCATATATTTCGATAATAAACTTGAATTGTACAAGAAAAAGAAAATGAACAATCAAATCTTGTAGAAGTTCAAGACCGAAATCATTTATTAAAAGTAAACACAGATTTTGTTGATAATTATAACAACGAATAAAGTGTATCGGTAATTTATTTGCAGAAAAATGATCGTCAATGGCTTTGCTGGCCGATGACTTGATGACGGAATGACATGATGTTAATTTCGACGAATTATCGATGAATTTGACGTTAGGATTGCGCCATTCGAAAGAATTTTTACATATATTATAATCGATCGCTTTAAATTGTCTGTACAATGATGATGGATTTAACATTTTACAATATATGCGATATGACAAATTCATATGCTGTTCTTAAATAATTTCATGTCTGATTTGACCGGATATTCGAATCTTACGACTATCAAACTCAATGTCGGTTCGTTGAAGAAAGAAAAAAAATTAAGTAACTAAATATACACTTCTATCAAATACAATTTTGATGGTGGTACGATATATACTCGAAATTCGAATTTTTTCATCAGTTCAGGGGCTTATTAATTTCTAATGCTTAATAGTTTGTGTGACAATTGATTCTAAATTTTGATGCGGTCTATTTTTTATTCCTTCTTGATAAAAAGTTAATTTTTCAACAAAAAAAATTTCAACGGAAATATTCACTGTGAATCCAATGAAAGAAAAAAAATTGTTCCAGTTGGTTGAAACTTGATAAGAATTTGTTATGCTTGGATATTGCAAAAGAGACTGAAATTAAAGATAACCGAAATAACCTCTAAACAGTACGAGCTAAACTAAAAGCTAAAAATGTCACTATACGTCTAAATTGAGAGCCTACGAACAGTTGCCAGTACAAGTATTGTGTCGAATGTTGTTACCGTTCGAATCGTTCAAATCAGTTTGGTGTGAGCGAACGTGATTTAGCGACGCATTGAAACACTTGCACACATGCATCAGTCGAATTATTTTATGGTTTTGTCACGCATTAAACAGTCATTTTCGAGTTTCATTCAGTTCATTATTATTCATTTCTTGTTATCAGTTCATATCGCACTTATTTTGTTCTTGAATAAACAAGGCTCTCATTTCATGTTCCAACTGAAATTATTTTGAACACAAAATTTCACTCACACAAACACTCGATCGCTTCGAATCGAAAAACAAAGTCTTACAAAAACTCACACATTTTGTCAAATGTTCTTTGTTTGTGGTTTGAGATGTGATTATTTCGTGGTTTTACTGCAGAGTTGCTAAACGTCGTATAATAATTACGAATTATTATCACAGCTTCATGGAATCAAAAATGGTTTGTTTGGCACACCTATGATGAACTTATTCGATTCCGCGTAATCCGCTTGACATGAGGCTATCACGTTAATCCAATAATGTTCTCTTCTTTGTTTGGTCTCTGAACAATAAATTCACTTCTAGCAACAAAAAAAAATTGCAATCACAGAATGGTTGAATCGAATTTTCATTCTCTCACGATAGAACATCTTCCGTCACCAAACAAAAACACTTGCACAAACATTCTCACCGGGTTCGTTTCATCTGTATATTTACGCACTGAACTTAATAGAATGGGTTGAATTGGTTTTACACTAGACGCTTGGAGTGGTGTTATTTTCTGATATTGAGCAGCATTTTCGATGGATGTGTTTCTGAGGTTGAATCAGTTACTGCAAATGTAGCACCATCATCATCAGAAAAAATTGAAGAAAAAAAAATGCAATCAGCTCTTACAACAACACGCTTCAGTTCAAGGCATTGTGTGACCGATTAAATTCACGGATTTTGTCTTCGATTTGTGGCGTCAATGCATTGGCCATATCACGAAAGTGGGCATCATGCGTTTGTACATACTTATTCATGATAGCATCACGAAAACGGACCATGTCATAAATTTCGGGCGAATTTTTGTATTGCATCCGTGATGGTACACTTCGGGCCGGATGTTGACTACCATTTGTCGCCGACTATATACACAGTATTACACACCGTGCGGTAATTTGGGTTTTACAATTTCAGTTTTAGAGATTTGATTCGAAATTCGCATTGAAACGGTTGCACCGATGAAATGAGAAAAAAAAGAGAAGAGAAAAAGAGAACTTGATTAGTTTCGGTGGATGTGAGGACGATGACAAAAAAGATGATGATGCTTTAGATGAACTAGTTTGGTCGCACTGGCTTTTATTAGAACACACACACAAACACACACATTTGCGCGCGTACAAGGAAAAAATTAAATAATTTTATTTTCTCATTTTATTCGCGTTTCGCGTGAACAAAACCAGAAAAGAAATTAACTTAACTTTGTCTTGTTTTCACCAGTTTTCTCGATTGATTCACATGCATCGCGATTGTGTGATCAAAGAAACAACAACAACAAATAGACCGTAGAAAAATCAATACATTACACGTACATTGCCTTTAAGTGACAATTCACCGAATTTCAGCTGTGCTTTCGTTAGATTTTTCGAATTCATTTTCGATGTGGTGAAACCTTAATATCTTGTACCAAATTTTTCTCGTTCGTTCGTGAACTGCACGAATGTATCATAGGAATTTTCCACTGTAATTTCGTACGCTGTGCAATCTGTTTTTTTCTTTCGACTCTGCAGCAGTGTATATGCTGAAAGCGATGATGACGACGACCAGTCAGCAAAAGTAAATGGCAAGAAATAACTTTATAGACAGTGTTGCGACGAAGGGGAAGAAGGAGACATGCAATAAATAGTGTCTTTTCGCTAACTGTGTGTTTGCCTTTCGACGCGATAATTTTTGTGATTTTTTCCCCTTAAAAAAGAACGCACTTTTGACTATGGTTTGCTTTAAAAACTCGTAGCAAATGTAAGATTTGTTAATTGATTAGGAAAACTCAGTGTTATGAATAAAAGATTTGAGTAGAAAATTTTTTTTCTATCTTCGACTGACCGAACTTGAACTGTGTCTTATCGACTCGAACGTTCCAGAATGACTGAATGCGGTTCGGCTGCCGACGATTGCTTATATCGTTTAACCGACTTGGTTGTTGCGTTTGTAGTGAGGTGCCGACCGCAGTTGGATAGACGGTACCGTGAGACAAAACGTTCGCACGCACTAGAACGCAAGCTATAATTTGCACATCAGCTGAACGAACGAATGCCAACGAGATGGGCACCAATGCACAACAAAAAGTAGAGAGAAAAAAAAAACAAAACAAAATACTAGCATCGATTCGGCTGAGCTGTTTGATTCGTAGCGTTTCACACAAACTCAGTGGGCTATATCCTGCCGCTACAGTGCATGCCGCTACGGTACGTGCTTGACGGGCATCCGGCAACACCATGCATGTTGTCTATGCATTTCGCAAACATTTACCCAAACACACTTGGTTTTCGTTCTTCAGCCAATAGAAAAAAAAATGAATGTGCAACGAATGCACATTGTCGATGCAAAAAGACACTGCAATCGAATGATGCGATTGTACTTTTCATTGAGCCACGTATCTCCAGTCAACGCTTATGTGTGTCTATTTTTATCACAGTACACAATGAATCGGAAATCTCGATACATAGTTCGCTGCTCGCTTTATTTGAATTGTGATTCTTCTTTTTCCATTCGCAATCTATTGTACGGTCCTTTACCCATTACAAAGTTCACTTAGCACATCTCTAGATCATCGTTGCGAAGCATGAATGAAAATATGAATGGAAGTTTCTTCTTTTTGAATGAGAATGTTTATTTTTGGATTTGTTTTTTCAGCGTTTTTGAATTTTCGAGATTTTTTTTACCTTTTTTGTTCCATATTTTTCGATGAATTTTCACTTTTTTTAAAAGAATTACTTTCAATCGAGTTGAAATCACTAGTTTTGTTTATAAATTGCACAAATCGCCTTCCATCAGCTATCCCAACACCACAATAAAACACATTCCATTTCAATTTTGCCGCTCGCTTGCGACGCTCCGTATGCGAAATGCGGCGAAAGTTCGCTACTTTCGAACATCAGCGAGCCGCGTGCGGCGAATTCGCTACTGTCAAACGAGTTCGATTGTTTTTTATGATGCCAATAAAAAAAAAGACGGCGTTTGTTGTTCTTCACACCAACAAAACCCATCACACGAATTTTTCGCCAAAAATTCCATTTTTATCTAACTAACCGCGGTGAAACTGTTCTTTTTGCATATATTTAGTATTTTGAAGGTGAAATCCAGTTAAAATTGTTGAATGTGAGTGGGAAAATTGAGGTTTTGTTTTTATTGTGAGTAATTCTTGACGCTCACACATACACAGACGAAGAACAGTGAACGAGAACAGTGGAATAAGCTGTAACGATATGGAACAGTCCGAAAAATCTGAACAACCAGAGGAGGTGATTGAAGATCTCAGCGTTAAAAAAGTGGATGTGGAAAAATCCGAGGAAAAAGATTCAAATGATGATGTGGAAATCATTAGTGATGACAAGGAAGTAGAAGAGACTGAGGAAAATGAAGCAAAAGAGGAGGTAGAAAAAGAAGAAGAACTAAACAAATCGGAGAACGAAAACAAAGAGGTGGAAGCGAAAGCAGCCGAAGAAACACCATCGAATGAAGAAAAAGAAGAAGAGCAAAAAGAGGAGAAAGAGAGTGAGACGGCAACAGAAACAGCAGCAGCTGCAACACCTGAAAAGGATCACGACAGTGACATTCCAGACGATGACAATGATGAGGTTGTGTGAAATGAATTGAGTTGTTTTTTGGAACAAATTTGATTAAATTTTAAATTTTTTTGTACAGGATAATGAAGATGGACCGAAATTGGAGTTCCATGTCGGCCGAACGGTTACACTTCAAATGTTGTTGGCCGCCAAATTGCTGGAACCAGGCCCAGCTGCAATGAGCATTGAATATTTGGTGAGAAAAGAATTGGTTTTCTGAAAAGATGCGTTGAAATTCGTCAATCAAACGAAAAATGAGCAATTCTACATGTATCAACTAAAAATCACTAAATCAATTCATTTTCATTTTCTTTGAAGGGTCAAAAATTCGTAGGTGATTTACTTCCCGACGGTCGAATTAAATCCGTTGAAACAGAGACAATCTTCTGTTCGCCCAGTGCATGGTCAATGCATTGCAAGCGAATTATCAATCCAGAGAAAAAATCGGGCTGTGGATGGGCATCAGTGAGATACAAAAACAAAAAATTAGATGCCATCAAAACCACATACTTGAGAAAATGTCAACTTCAAAAGGACTCCAATCTGAGTGATGACGGTGTGTTTTTCCATTATTCTTTTCAAACTTTACATTTTCTTCGAAATCTTCAATTTCTTCAAATCTTACATTTTTTTTACAAATATTTACATAAGATTTCATTGATTCCATCCATTGAAAATAGGTGACGTTGAAATAATTGAAACGAAGCCCGGCTTACCAGAGCTTGAAATCAAACGTATTGTTTTACCTTTCAACACAGTGAACAATCGGAATATTGTGCAGTGAGTTCCTTTTTCGAAGGATTTTAAAGTCAATTTTTCACTCAATAAAATCTGTTTCCGTTCAAATAGTGATCCAAATACACTGGTAGAGACAGCTTCATTTGTATCGCTAAATAAACTGCAACCATTTATGGTGTCAATCACAACATCATCGGTGCTATTGATGGACTTCCATTGTCATTTAACAAAGCAAGAAGTGTGCGGTTATTTGGGTGGAAGCTGGGATAATAACACTCAAAGTGAGTAAAATGCCATTCGCAACATTTTTAGGCTTCAATATGATGTTTTTTCTACTTCAATCTGATATTCTCTCATTTCAATCTGAACATTTTGCGAGTTTACTATTGAATTTATTTTTTCCTCTTCAGCATTGGCAATAACACATGCATTCCCCGTTCGTAACACTCGCCATGATCGTCATTATGCCATTGAGATCGAGCAACAAATCCAACGTAATATGTTGAAGCGAAACTTGATTTTAGTTGGTTGGTATCACAGTCATCCTCGTATCGCTGCGCAGCCAACGCTTCGCGATTGTGATGCGCAACTTGAGTATCAAATCAAAATGTGTGGAATATCAGATGAAACGTACACTCCATGCGTTGGATTGATTTGTTCTCCGTATTACTCGGATAATCTGTCATTGGAATCGAGTATAACAGCATTCTGGGTTGTTCCACCGGCTGAAAATCGCCCTTTGGAATACGGTCGCCCGCTGTCAATGCAATTTTCCGTATCACAGGATCTTGAAATGTCGGAACACATCCGAACTGAAATGGTGCTAGCAATCGATTACTATCGACAGTTTGAAAATGAAATGGTCAATTTCGAAGCAAAATACGATGAAGATGTGACCTTTATTGAAAAATTGAAAACAACACTGTACTCGAAATTCCCACGCGAACAAAATGATTTTGAATTTTGGAATTGGTTGCGACAAAATCTAGGCTTGCCGCCAGAAACGGAATTCTGTCCACCGAAACTGTGGTCAACACGTAATGAACAAAATGCTTCTTTAGCTGATACAAGCAGCGATACGGATAAGGTTGAAATTGTTGAACCACCAGCTCCAACTATCGACAGTAACGTAATATGCATCGATGTGGACATGAAAGAGCCGGAAATTGTTGAAATCAAAGATGATGACAGACCAGATATTATAACACCAGCAAATCTATCTGCTGCCATTGAGAAGGATTTAAAGGATGAAAAATTATCGATTCGATCGCTTCAAGAACAATTGAAATTGCCGTCGGGATTGAATATGACTCCATCGCCGATTTCTTCGATTCCGATTTTGCAGAAACCGTCGAAGAGTACCTCGAGTCCAAGTACGACAACATCGAATAATCCGGTGCCACTTGTTTCACCACGCGACAGTCCAATTTCAACGCCATCCAATTCGGCCAGCCCAGCAATGAAATTCGATATTCGTCCACCAGCCACACCATCTCCAGCAAAATCGGATGCATCCTCAACACGCAATCGTAACTCACCATTGCCGGCCAATTTGAGCAAGTATCCTGCTTATCACAATACTCCAACGTCAACAAAATCAAGTAATGGAAATTATTCATAGAATTTAGCTTTTTTATGTGAATCATCTTATTAATAAAAACGTCTTCAATTTCAGGTTCCATTTCAAATGATCCAACAATGGCGGCCACAAAAGCAATGGAAGAATTATTAGCTGCCAGCTTCCCCGGCGGTAAATTCTCCTATTCGTCCGATTATGCAGCACTATTGCAACAAGCCTCGACTAAAGACCTAACCGCAGCGGCCAATCTCCTATCCTCAACTCCATCTGGTGATAAGCATACTTCAGCTTTGGCAACTGCTTTGGATCCATCAACGAATATGAAAGATTTCTTCTCACAATTGGAGAAAAGTACTGAGCTCAGCTACTTATTGCAGCAACAGTATCAATATCCTGGTTTAAGCGGTCTGACTCACATGAACCAAGGCTCGAATTCAACATCGAATGCACAAGCAAGCACTCCAAAATCCACGAAACATTCAAAACGCAATTCGCGCTCTTCGTCAAACTCTTCTGCGGTGCAGCGAAACTTTGAAGATGAATTCAAGAGCGAAGCAAGCAAAATGAATGATCCATCGTTGAGTGCGTATGAATCTTATGCCAAGTTACTGATCAATCAAGCGGAGGCACTGAATGCAGCTGTTGCGCATCAAAATTACAGTGAAATTTCATCGATTGCATCGGCAATAAATACTTTGCCTACAAATACGTCCGTGAGTGCAATGTCATCATCGTCGACGTCATCGCGAAAATCTCGCAAGTCATCGACAGCCACTCAGCCGATTTCATCGATTTCACAACAGCCATCACTTGCCGAACTCAGCCAATTATTGCATGGATCATCAACATCGAGTTCGAAAATGCAAGAATTGCTGCGACAAATGGAGAGTTCCGCATCCGGTTTGAACATTAAACCGACTTCAAGCCAGAGTCAGAAGCAACAACAGAAACAACAGCAGCAGCAGCAGCAGCAACAACAACAACAACAACAGCAACAGCAGGCGCAGCAACAACATTTGAATTTGTTGTCATCGATGCAACAGCAGTTGAGCCAACCAAGCAAAGGATCATCTGGTGGTTCGTCAAAGAGCAAGCAACAAGCACAAAACAACGCCATTTCCGATTATATGACGTTGTTGTCACAAGCAAAACTTCCAGATTTGGCTTCATTGATGGCTCAATCGTATGGCAGTAGCGACGGTAGCATGCCATCCGCAGCTGAACTGTCTATGTTACTCCAACCACAACAGTACGATCAACGTGGAATGGGCAAAAATGCCGATTTGGCATCGTTGAATGCATCAATCGATATGCTTGGCAATCTATTCTCTTCGAACAAAAGTGCGGCCGATTTGAATTCACTCCTATTTCCTCAAAGTGGAAAAGGCGGTCCATCGCAAGCTGACATTTCGAGTTTCCTAGCGGCTGCCGGACATCAATCCATGAATCCACCAGCATCGCAATCATTTTCATCATCGAAAAGTTCGGCACATACCAATCCGTACTATTCACAGTCGGCCGCTGCATTGGACAAAGCACAACAAGACTTGCTTGCATTGTACAACAACAATCCGATTTCATCGTCGATGGCCGGTGGTGGCAGCAACAAATACCCAACCATTCCAGATCCATTATCGAAATCAACATTGGCTGCTAACAACATGTTCATGAATCCATCGTCAATTTATGCAAAATTACAACAAGACGCATTGAATGCAATGATCATGAAACCACCGTCAAAGGCAAGCTCAAAGGGTGAATCAAAATCACGTGAGACATCCGAATCGCCGGCATCACGCATTATGCCTTCACCGTCTTCGACTCCATCACCATCGGCTAAGCATAACTTCAGTGCCGTTGATCTAGCCGTGTCGAGCGTGAATCAGGCACGGTCCTCGTCACGATCACCACACAAAAAACAATTTTCGATATCAGATTTGGTCTCACCACCACCGTCGAAAATGATGAAATTCGCTGACAGCTTCGCACATGACGATAAGGATGTACTAAATCTATCCGGCAACAGTTCCGATAAATGAATTTAGACTATTTGCAGTATTCAAAACTACTATTTTTTTTATCCTTTGAAAAGTATTCAACTAGAGTGTAGTCAAACTTAGATGTAGATTTTCATCGTTCGAATTTAGCCAACATCAAAATTCGTTTATATTTATTTTAATCCTATTTTAGATTTTTTTTTTTTCAAAACAAAGTGTTTGCATGAGAGGTCGTCGTCATTTATATTTGACGTGTAATTTTGTATTGAAACTGTATTGTGTTTTTAATACCGAGCCTAAATCTCTTTTTTTTATATATATTTTAGATTCATCCCCTGTCAATTTAGTCGAAAGTATTATTTTTCGTTTTATTTTATTGTAGCTGACAAGTAAGTTAATATCTGTACTCGTCTAAATAATTATTATGGAATAAATTATCTTTAGCAAATGAAATGTGGACATTTTTGGTCATTTGGAAGAGAAAAAGAAGTTGATCTGAGGCGAATATCTTTCTCAATCTGAGGTAAGGCATTGAAATGAAATTGAGTGAAAATGAATAGAAACCTGCTTTTGATGGAGAAAAGAAAAGAAAGAAAGAAAGTTAATCTAAAAAGAATTTCTTCTAATGAAAATTAGTTGATAAATACCAATATTTCTTCGAAATTCCCTAAAAACCGGTGTAAATAATTTGTATGCGGTTTATGACTACGGTTTTCGAATTTCACCCAATGTTCGAATCCATGTTCGAAACTCGTTCAACGCGAAGTGAAGTTCGTTGATTTTGACACTTCGAAATGTCAAACACACAGAATTTCTTTGAAACACAAACCATTCGGACTGATACAATTGAACTGCGTGTTTTTCGGTACAAAACGCCGCAACAAAACAATTCTAACTTGTGATAGCTCATAAGAAAAAGTTTCTATCGGTCACACAATGTTGTCGTCAAAGATTGAACAACTCATAGTCATACTGGAAAACCAGGAACTTGACGTAAGTATCTTAAAATTCCTTATTTCATAAATTACACATTCTATGGTGCAAATTGTGCAAAAAAAAATTTCCTTGCAAAAATATAACTTTCTTCTATGCGATTTTTGCAGTCACCAAATGGAGTCACACCACAGTTGTATGCCGAGTTGATGGCCGCTTATCTCTACAAAAACGATCTGTAAGTAATTACTACACAAAATATGATTTTCTGTTCATGTTTCACATTTGGTACCGCTGATGCGTCATCAGAAAACAAAAACAAACGTTACCCTTGTTCACCGTTTTCTTTGTTCATTCAGTTCGAGCGCTCGGTTTTTGTGGAAGCGGATCCCATTGAATGTGAAAACGGGCAATATTGAACTGGAAAAGATTCACAGCGTTTACATCTGCTTGTGGAACAATGACATCGCCGGCTTCTTCAAAATCATCAACTACGAATGGTCAAATAACATCGCCGAACTTATGTTCGAACTGCGAGGTTGGTACAACACACAATTTCAATGCAAACGATTTGCTTCATCATTTTACGTTTTTTTTTGTCTTTTCTGTCTTTTTTTCACTCTTTTGAATTTTGGATTCACATTGAAATTCCAGAAAAGACGTACAAAGAGACAGTGGATTTGATTGCCAAAGCGTACACGTCACTCTTTGAAGACTTCATATGCAACATGTTGAATCAGACGCCCGATGTTATAACGGAGCTGTGCAAAAATTTGGAATGGGAAATTGAAGACGGCAACTATCCACGCTTGATTAAACCACGACGCCCACCCGATGCCAAAGTCAACACGGAATCTGCTGAAAATCTCCTGGCCAAATTGACGGACTTCGTTTCGTTCTTGGAAAATTGAAAATTAACAAGCATCGATCGCATTTAATTAACTCTCTTCGCGTAAGTCGCAAAATTCGAATAAAACTGAACACTGAAGCCACACATTTAATGTAAAAAAAAATACAATCATTACTTAAGTAAAGATTCAAAACCAAAATAAATATTTCCGAAAAAAAAACGAAAAAAATATCTTTGAAAAATTGGATTGTTTCTTCTCTAAACGCACACTTTACAGCCGAGCACATCTTTATATATGGAGAATAGAAATATTTTCATTTCCTAGCCTTTCTTGTCATCGATTTTTTTTCCAAGAATTTAAAAGCCCCGAAGGATCATTCCGCCTGAGAGATGACAACAATAACATTAACATGAGAAGGTGGAATTCCAATCTCCGTTAACCCGAAAACATGTCATCAAATCGATATTATCAAGGGGGACGGAACACCAAGTGTCAAAGTTTGTTTTTTCTTTGTTCAACACTCGTAATATGAGTGTTAACACACAAGTTTAAGACACTTAACATGCATCGACCGTGAATGCACATCGTTTAATGGTAAAACTTGTGTCTTTAGCGAACCACCATCATCTCTATTTGAGACATTAACAAAACAGACGCTCGTTTTCACCAGATAACGTTGAATGTTTGTGCCAAAACTCTGCAAATGTCATTTCTTATTTCGTTTTATTTTCGGCACACCAATTTTTTTTAGTGTCTTTCTGAGAGAGACTCTCTGTGTGTGTTGTTATTTTGTAGCATTTTTCTGGTCGCTTACTTCGGCACTTTCGCAACACATTAATAGCAACAATAATCATTGAGCATTAACGAAGTGGCAACATCGACATTGTTGTGTGTATCTAAGTGTGATGCGAGAGCATTGAAGCTAATGACCGAATGATGAATACCACGACCACGTTCTTCTAATATTCCAAGCGTAAATGCCGAAAAGTTGTGCGCCCCGTTGGATTTTTGCTTGACTGCACAAAGTGCACACGCACACATACAACCAGCAGAATGGCCGTCCGTGTTGAGTTTAAACGGCAACGATTACAAATTCACAGCGAAACATTATCTTGTGCTTTGAAGACATTTTGGCATGAAGTAAGATCAAATTTCATGCAAGGTTTGAGTGCATGAACTAAATACCACCAAAAATAATAATCATATTTCGCCAACTCAAATTACTTTCGAAATATTATGTCTATTTCGTTGGGCTCGTTTTTTTTCTGTCCGGCATGAATTAAATTCACAGCAGCTATTTCGCTAAAGACTTGAACAACAAGAATAACATCAACAGCATCAAAAGTAAAAATAACAACAAATATCCAGCCTCTTGCCAAATGTGCACAGAAACATTCACAAATAACCAAACGAGGAGCTGTCGCTTCTCTTTCGCATTGAGCCGTTTCACCAACATAATATAAACGAAAACGATGCAGATGTAATCTAGCATATATGCTTCTTCTTCTCCTTTGGCGGCGAATTATTCGAATCCGATGTAAAACTGAAAAATAAGCATCTTTCCAAGTATGCAATAGTTTATTCCGTTCGCAAATTGCATAAGAAATGGATTTCGAAGGGATTTTCCAGCACAAAAGCCGAACATTGTTCACCCTCTTTTGCCAAGTATTTTTCAACGCGAACCTTTTCTTTTCCCTCTCTTACTCTCGACGCATTTATTTGAACGTTGTGAAAATGAAGCAGAAAAAAATCAAATCGAAGCAAATCAAAGCACCATATTCATGATGTGATGTGTATACGATTGGTGGCGCTTGGTGCAAAACAGAGATTGAACAAGCACGTAACTCGACATGACATCGTTGAAATTGAAGCCATTTTCATTTGCTGCGGAAATTTTATTTGGAAAAAAGCTTATTTAGCCTGCCTTTATCTCGGTTCTGCGCCGCAATTTCATATCCTTTGCCGTCATTGAAAACGTATAAAAAAAAACCGTAACTGAGTATTGTGAATACGTGACGTTGTCACCTTTTTCAGAGCAGTTCTCTGTCTTTGTCGCTCTCACGATGTTTTTTGTGTGACGACAAGCTGGCCAACTGCACGTGCTTCAGTTGAAACGTTAAAAATATTGGAGCGAAGGAGAAAGTAAAAGTGGGTACGAGAGAATCATAATGAGAAAAAAAAAGAGAGAGAAATGTTGCGTACCGTACAATGGGTGATATGTGATCTGACCATCAAACCATATTCAATTGATAAATTTTTATCACTTGGGTTTGTTCGTAAAAAATTAATCCCGATGCATTTATTTGTATCGTCCTCTTCGTCGACGTCGTCGTTTTTGTGGCTGTTGCTGTTGCTGTAACTTGACCTCCCTTCGTTATGCCAAGCATCTAATTCACAAAGGACGCTAAAGCATATAATACGGGTTTTATAGATCTAATGCCTGTCGAAACTACCGACGAGCATAAAAATTGCATGGTATTTTTCGTTCCCTTGTTCAGTTATCGAATTCACAAGTCATGTCGATTTGGCCATTGGGCATACGGCTCGCCATCGCACACACACACACATACCCACTTTTCGCTCACCAACATAATATGGCACATCGTATATGGCTTTCGATTGGGTTTTGGAAAACACAATGGAAAATCAAGTCAAAATCATTTGCAAACAGATCGAATTGGAGAGATAGTGCGACTGACATTCCGAACCGTGTGTATGGCATTGTTTATGGGGCACCCACTTTGCTCGAATTCATCCTCGTCGTCGCCGTTGTTCACAATCAGAATACGTCTCTGAAATGGTCAACGGTATTTTTCGCATTCCAAATGTTTTGTACACCAGCACCCACCATCACCACCACCACCACAGCCACCATTTCCACATCTCTTCCATTATCAGTGGTCGTCGTCGTCATTGTCGTTGCCAGAAAAAAAAAATATGTACCGTCAGTTGGTTGGGAGCATTGTGCACGCTTTTCCTTGAATATCATCAATATTTCATGGGTATGTGTGCATTCACATTCAACCGCCGAAGCATACACCACATTTCGAAGAGTTCGCTCTATATTTGCTCTCACCATTTTCTCTATCTCTTTATTCTCACTCTCTGTCTCCATCACAATCGAGTTGCTGTGCTCTCACATCCGCACCAAACGGTTATCTCATGGCATAGAATGTCTGCTATTTGCTTTGGCAAGAATGGGGGGAAAAACGTAGAATGAGAGAAAGAGAGAGAGAGAGAGAGAGAGAGAGAGATAAAGAAAAAAAAATTAAATCAAACGGAAAAGATGGAATGAGCAGTAAATCGACTGAAGCATACACCATTCGCACATAAATTTGGAACGTAGTCACAATCCCACACATGTAGTAACACAATCATATAAAATATAAGTACATGCATACTATGCATTGCATAGTCGAGAGCCATACTGTGTGTAGCGTAGCGAAGCAAAGCAAAGCAAAGACCAGAGAATGGAAAGCGCTAAGAGAGTCGACTCTTCGTTGGACCTCTTGTTTCCATGGGCGATACAAAGAATAATACCCCAAAGTCCTTATTCAGATCATGTATTTTGTGCAAACATCATCAGATATGGAAGATGTTCATGGCATTTTCAGCGAACGTGTGTTCAACTGCTCTGCCTTAACGTAAACAGGAGCCAACCGAACGACCGACCGACCGAGTCAGCCAACCGTCAGACGTGTTCGTCAGCCAGGGCATGTTTTATCGGTTAATTGCCATGTTTCACGTCGATTATCATTTTCTTCAAATTAAAACGAGCGTCTCTTTTTTTCGGTATAAAGTCAATTAAAATTTGCGAGAATTAAGCTTGATAATGGGCTCATTTTCGTTTGCTTCACTTTATGAAAATTTCAATTATTTTTGTGCGCGTTCTCAGAGCCGGTGGTAGGAGGGCGACGGTGTTATGATCCAAGAAACATGCCCGGTAGAAAATTCAAATGACCAGAACGATGGCGACAACGGCTTACAATGACGACTTGCGGCGGTAGAGAATGAATGTTTGAGCGTTCGTTCGTTTGCACACACAAATGGTGTGCTATGAGCTCACGCAATATAACGTTCCATTAGCCGCTCTCTTTCTTTTGGTCTCACTTCAAGCAAACGTCCGTTTTGCTATTGCATGTATGACTATACATATTTACCCATGGTTATTTGCTCATGCGATGTTTGCACACAAATGTCAGTTCTACTTTGTTCGGTTCGAGGTTCTTCTCTGTCTCTCTATCGCTTGAAAATTGTTCGTAGCAAATGGTTGAATATCTAACAAAAGCCACTGCCAAAGTCGCAGTCGTCACACTTTATTTTGTTCATTTGGTCGGTTGGTCGGTCGTTGGTTCGTTCGTTGCTCAGTTGGTCGATGCAATGCTATACGCAAGAATAGACTCAAATACACCACATAAAATAGAAATGGTAAACTATTATAGATTCATCAAGGCATTGCCATGGGTTAGCACCGAACTGAGGCCAGAGCTTTATAGCTGTGGTCGGAACGGAATTGGCAAATGTACAAGTTTGGTGTGTGTGTTTTTTTCTGTCTCTCTCTTTCTCTCTCTCTCTCTCTTTCTCCCGTTGTGTGTCGTCGTCGTCGTTTTCAAACCGCTTCAGACGCCTCGGTTCTCCTTTTTTATGCTCTTTTTCTTGTGGTCTCGGATTTGTTGTTTCAAGTTCTGAAATTCCAACCATTCCTTTTCGGCAAAAGTGTTTTGCAGTCGCAATCACAGCCGGGTTGCCGTACTTTTCCGATTTTGTCACATTTGATGAATACACCGAAGAGAAACCGAACACTTTGGACCCGGCTTTGTTTTTCGCTTTTTGGTTGATATCGTTAGAGTTTTGCCTCTTTCCGCTCGTTGTTTTTTGTGTGTCTCTTCATTTTGGTTAGCTTTGGAATGATTGTATTGCATTCACATCACAGAGACAACTTTGGCCGTGTACTTTGACCATATGCCGTTCAATGTGTGTGTGTGTGCATAATTCCGATAAGTTCAAGTATGTCACAGTTTGCAAGCATTCAAATCGGCTGTTGCAAATGCTGTGTCGCCTTTTCAAAACTCCTCACTCGCTCTTTCTCTCGCTCTATCTATTTATCGTGTTCGCCATGTACATTTTTGTGTTGCATTCAGCATGTGCATTCAGCATGTGTTTCGATTGCGCCACGTTAGCTTAATAACCGGCAACATGAAAATAACAAATGTACACACAGCACGTAC